ACTGACATGGTCTGTGAACCTCATCAACTGACACTGTTCTCTTCAACAACAGAAGAGGAAAAAGTCTTTTTTTTTCCAGAAACATCTACAGTTAAATCCAGGTTCTAAAACCAACCTGAGGTCCAGTGACAGGATGATGATGATGACGGTGGTGATGATGATGATGACAGTGGTGATGATGATGATGAAGATGGTGATGATGATGTATAACTCATGTCCCTGAGCTCATTAACCTGCTGTCAGGAGGAGACGACATCCATTCAGAGCCACTGACTAAGTTTAGAACAGAAGCTGAGAACTGACTCTGACGCCTCGTCACGACGATAAAAAAAACCTGTTTTATCCTGACGTGACCGACTCAACAGGGAGGTTCATGGGTGAACCTGCAGTTCACCTCATCTGCCCCTAGGGCTGTAACGATGCATCGGGAAACAAATCCGTGACAATTCTCATCGGTTAAAAAAAAAAGACTCGTGCAACAAGGCGTAAAGAGAAGCTGCGTTATCTCCAAGAGTCAGTGGTCAAACCATGACACTACACACTCCAGAACAGTAGGTGGCAGAAATGAACACATCTGTCACCTTTACAAATACATAATAACAATCTAAAGTATTTACTGCAGGTCTGTACACATTGACAGGTACTGTCAAAAACTCGTACTCCTGCTCAATGTTAGCACACTAGCCCGAGGCTAGGCTAATAAGTCCTGTTTTTCTAGCTAACAGCTCATCACCGCGTTGATTTATTCCTCCTCCACCAGTGACGTGTTTGTTTGTAGACACACAACGGTTCCTGAAAAGTCACTCCGTTTAAATAGTGTCATCAAAAAGTACTCCGAGGGCAACAGCCAATCATCATCAAGACGACAGTCATCAAAGCTGTAGTGTAATCTTTGTCAACGCAGGACTGCGTCAAAGGCAGACAAACAGAGTCTTAAGACCGTTAGCTCGGGATTAGCCTCGGAACAATCAGACTATCTAACACAACATCGCCCCCTTGGCTTCGTTCAGAGCACATCAAAATAAAACCAGTAAAAAAATCGGATGTTTTTTGTCGTACCTTCTCAGCTGACCCCTGGTCACTAAGGTCAAGTGTTGCCAACATCCAAATGTTCATCTGTTCTACCTGAACAGTCTCTCTATCACACACAAAGTCTGGATTCTTCAGTGGGGAGACAGGGATGTTGCGTCTCATTAGGAGAGGCTAAGGGAAAGCAGGGGGAGGTACGGGCGGCGTACGGAGCAGGGTATGGGTATCAACCGTTTTCATATTTAGCTGTTAGGGCCTGTTTTTTTTTTCTCTTATTTTGGGGATGGGGGCAGTTTCAAAGAGTATGTTAATGGTACATTGACTGTTGGAACAAAAGGGGTTGAGAGTTCCAGGGGAATCTGGCACTGAGTGTAATTCTCTGACTTTAGCTAATACAGAAATGAGGGGATCGTGGGCTAAGCCAGTGGTGCAGTAGGCTGGGAAGTCCCCGGCCCCCGCTTGACATTTATAACGATTTGGAGAAGATTAAAGCTGTATTACTGCTGTAGCCCGTAATGTGGCTCTGTAATGAGGTGTGAGTGCATCGCAGTTCTTAAGAGAGAAAGTTTGAAGCCTTTAAAGTAAAAAAACACAGAGGGTGAGAGAGGGAGAGAGAGAGAGAGAGAGAGAGAGGGAACACGGGTTCTGACGGAGTCTAGAAGCTGAAGTGAGCCACCGCTGTGAAGGCTTGTCAGTCTAA